TGTAAGAAGTCCTTCTATCCTCTCACATGAAGAACAGAACAATAAAAGACATCGTTTCTGTTGTTTTCGGTGTAAATCATTATTTTCAGATGTTTTCTCGAATACAGTTTTTAGGTTTTCAACATTTCAAGACATAAATTATTTGTTAAAAAAGACTTGGACCAGTTAAACACTGCAAAATCTATCCGAACAAATCAATATTTTATCACTTTTAATGACCTGACAAGAAATTATGTATCTTACTTTGAATGAAATCTGTTTTAGGAATTCACTCGATGCTGGTGTCTTTTTACTGATATTAGTGGAATAATAATGTCTCAATTTGCAACATTATTTCTATTAAACAAGTTGAGATATCTTTACTGTTGTACAGTAAGATGAAAAGATGAAATGCAACCAAGTGAGTAAAGACTAAAGATATTAAAATCCCAATCCTTTTAAAAAGTAAAATATTAAAGGTCCAGTCAAGTTTTGTTTGACAAAAGAGCAGCAGTGTTTGTTTGTGTTTCTAGAGCATTACATCATTAATGTAAATATTCGTTCACCAGCATCAGGAAACACTAATCTGTACAGCAGCGTAACGTCTGAGTATTTAAAGAACTCTAGTTTGGGAGTGAAAGCTCTAATCCTGCTTTGACTTTTGGTGGAATTTTTTGCATTTTAATCGACGATTTTATTGAATATTTTGATAGTGATTTATAAAACTGACTGCTTTTTAAAGTTTGTGCTATTTATTCTCTTTTTGTCTTTTTTGTTATTCTTCATTTGACAGCCGATAGATGAGAGACACTCCAAATAAAAGCATTTGAATGAAACATTCTGTCTTCTTTCTTACAAAAATAAAATGAGGACGAGGAATTAAATTAGTTAGATATCCACATCCACCATGAATCAAAGTGTCTATTCATTGGTGAATGGTTTACTAACAGCATGTTTAATACAGTATATATATATATATATAAATATATGTGTGTGCGTGTGTGTGTATACATGTGCATGTGGGGTAATTTAAGGTGCTCCAGAGGGTTAAATGTTGTTTAAACTGTGGTTGATTCATTTTGGAAATAATCATGTATGCAGGTTTGGACATGAAGATCATAAAGGCATGAAGAAAAAGGGAATATAGGCCAACATCCATGCTTTCTGAGTCAGCTGGCTCTGAGTCATCAATAATTAGTCAACTACCAAAATAGCAGAACTATGAATCCTTTGATTTCCCTGTTTGATCTGTGACTCATCCTGTATTCAGCTGTGAACGACGCCCACGTAAACCACCATCTGTCTCTCCTCAGTTCACTCTGAGGCCGGCTGTTTCTTTAAGGCTGCACTGGCCCCTCAAAGTGTGAATAATATTCAGTAAGGAGTAACGCTTAAGTGGGAAAGCTTTTAGCACATTATCCACTGGCAATTGCAAACATAATCTACTTTGCCAGCGCAGGTCTCTTATTAAATATCTGCAGCAGCAGGATTTGCATTCAGGAGTCTCCTAATGGGTTTAGCTGCTCCGCAGATCTCTGAGTCGGTGTTTATGTGAGCCTCCATCTCACAGAGAGGAGAGAGAGAGTGACATTGAGGACGAGAGGTGATCCTGCTGTCTCCACACACACACAGACACTCACACACACACACACACACACACACTGAAGCCTTCAGAAAAACTCTGAAGTCAGCGTTTTCGTAAACATGATGCCTTCAGGTGCTCCTCGGAAGCTTTTACTTCCATCTACTTCTGTATATTTTACATTAAATTATCATTTAAAATACACAGTATGTATGCATAATCCATCACTGTCAATACATATATAACTGTACCCTGTTCACAGACTTAAATGTATCTTATAGTTCTATGTTGTTTTAGTTTTCTTTACCTAGTCTAGCTCCTTGTATGTGTTCACAGTCTTGGCCAAAGAAGCTGATCCTGATTCTCTGATTGGCAGGTAAAATGTCAAGTCGGGCTGTTTAGCAACTCGTGCAAGTTGTGAAAAATAATTAAAAACATTGTTATATTTTTCTGGAGCTGATGATGGATGTAGTTCAGGCGGGAATCTTTGGGAAAAGACTAGTCCTGTGTCTCAAATGGGATATTTCTGATGGCACACTACAGTATGTACTTACCTGCATTGTGTGTGAATTTTAACAGAGTAGTGTCGAACGGACTTCGCGTCGTATCGTCAGTAATTCAAGCCAGACTGATAAACCTAGACCTGTCAATCGCAAGGTAGCCCCGCCCTAAAGCATCCCCTGCTTTATGGTCTGTGTGACTCTAAATGGACCATAATGTACTAAATGAACATCATGCTGTATTGAAGAAGACTTGAAACTAGAGATTGAGACCATAAACTCATGTTTACAATGTTTACTGAGGTAATAAATCAAGAGAGAAGTAGAGTCATTTTCTCATAGACTTCTATACAACCAGAGGAGTCGCCCCCTGCTGGACATTAAAGAGAATGCAGCTTTAAGACACTTCTTATTGGCTTCACTTTTCAGACCCAGCAGTTGCCACCTGAGGGGTACTTAATGAAATAAAAAACACAAGTATAACTTAAATCACAACCGCTGCAGCTCCCTCGCCCGGCATTTTTTACAAGTTTGCAACAGACTGGTGGTCCCTTCCTTTCCGCTACGTAGCAAAGATCCCGACTGGTGAGGGTGAGAAGTGTCCATCGTTCTATTTTGTCTTTTGTCACACTTGTGAACGCACTTATGGCTTCCAAATAGCAAGTTTTCATACGGAAGTATAAGTAAATTGAGACACAGCAAAAGTGGCTGAAGTGCAAGTGAGCATTTCAGTTATCAGGAGTTTAGTCGGGGGACCTTTAGAGAGGATGTGGGCGAAACTCCAGCTATTGCGCAGACACGATAATTAACAATTTGTGAATTTGTGAATTTGTTTTCCTCAAAATGACATTTTGGGGAAAGTAGATTTAAGATTTACCCGTCTGGGTAAATAAGAAAAACACATAAACGTTGAACCCTGAGTGCTATCAGTCGTGTTGAGGAAGAAAAAACATTTTGTCTTGATAAAGACTCGCTTTAGAAGACGTCTAGACCGGATTCAGTCCCTATCAAGTTAAAAGCAAAGTAAATAAAAAAAGGGGAATGATGTGTTTAATCCTTTCTTCTTTGATATGAAACTGAATGAGTGATACAACGAACACAGCTGGATAAACCTCAGACTGCACACCTGTCTATTGTCACCAATAAAACCAACAACAATGCCACAGTTATGCCTCATATAGAAATAATGTGCATTTCCTGTTGTCATGTGAGAGCTGTGTGTGTGTGTGTGTGTGTGTGTGTGTGTGTGTGTGTGTGTGTGTGTGTGTGTGTGTGTGTGTTAAAGATTAGGGGCTCACTGGTGTGTGTCACAGAACGGATTAACCCAAGACTGCTGCTCCTGCACTCAATAAGGTTTCCTCTGTGTGTGTGTGCGTGTGTTGTAAAGGCATTTCTCACAGTTGCTGAGGGTCTCTCACACACCTCACACCACATAATGAGGGCAAAAAGGCAGAATCAAAGGTTCCTCTCATGTATCTTTTCACTTGAGACGTTCATTTTAAGACAAAAAAAGTAACCCAACAAAAACCTATCATTAAAGAAATCACATGTTTCTGCTCCAACACTCACAAAAATACAGGCCTCCAATATACTTAACCCTAAAATGACCTTTTTATTGTTGAGATGAGGAGTTGTTAGTGTGTTTAATTGGATTATACTGTGTGTTGTGTTGTAGTTTATTGCATTTAAAGAAATACAAGAGAGGATCCTGCACACTTTCCATCATAGACTCACGCTATTAATGACATTTCTGTCGTCAGACCCTCATCCGGCAAAGTTAACATATATGACAATCAGAGGGGCCCGAGAGGAGCCTTATTGATTTATTGAGTTCACCTTATTATCTGCATGTTTTTCTGAAATTTGTTGACATAACAAAACACAACATAGATTACATCAGACGCTGTGAATAAGTGCTGCGGTGCAATCAATTGATTCGCTCCCTTTTACATTCAGAGCTTATCTACAGGAACACTGAGGCCTATTTACCACCAACGCTCTCATTTTACCGTTTCACAGACTGAGGGACAAACACATCTGTGATGTGAACCTATTGTATCATTTGGTGAATTTACTGTCCATGTTTACGAATGGAAGAAATCAATATCATGTTTTGTTTTTGTATTTGAAGAGCCCATTGTCCTCAATATGTTTCAGGAAGGTGTTGCCGACTTCCTCTGATTGTGGAAACGGTGTTAATAAAGTTTTTTTATTTTACACAATGTTGAAAGTTAAAAAGAATATAAGCTTCACATACTGTATGTATTTATTAAAGAAAATATTGGATTGCATTATGATGTACATGTTCAAAACAGGGCTGGAGCTAATATTCTATATTTTGGGACACAGATATTGTGACGCAGTAACAGAGAGTGTTTGATTACAATCTATATCTTTCAGACGCTGAGTTGTTTAGATTCAACTTTTTTATTTCTAAACAAAACTCTTATGATTCTTCCACGTTATTTGGTGACTCTGACAGCAGAGGGATTTATGATGATACTGAATCTAGTGTGTGAAACTGTCATCGACACCTTACTGCTGCCATTAATTATCAAATAGCACCATCTCGGGCCAAGGTCTCTGGGTCCCAACATCTGGTCCGGGGCCCCCTCCAGGGGTCGTCCGTGAGAGGGATACCAACATTAAAATAAAGTTAGCTTCTTTATATTGTGCAATGGGTGCAAAGTTTCCTGGCTGCATGTTTTTAATTTCCTACTGTCATCACCACATTATGGACGGTATGAGGTCACATCTTTAACCGCACACTTTTTGGCATGAAAGGACAGCTCCAGGATTTTTTAATTGGCTGCTTGCTATCAGAGCTGCTGTGGGACAGAGGGAGAGTGACGTGGAGGCAGAGGCAGTGATTGGAGGACGGACTGGGCACTATAAGGGGAGGGTGGATCGGACCGAAGCTTCCCAAAGAGCAAGCGGACGCAGATCTGGTACCGCAGGACGCGCACAAGTCAGTGGAGTCAGTCCGCCTCCGTCGTCCTTCATCATGCAGCCAGCGAGACGCGCAACTCGGCAGTGACAAGTGTTTCCAAAGTGGCGAGTGTTTATCCGCTTCAGCGAGCAGACTGCGCAAAGAGCGAAACCAAGGACGAACTGTGCATAGATTTTCTTTTCACTTTTCTTCTTGGAGCCAAAAACAGGCGGAAGTTGAGCGTTTCTGTTGGATTTTTATTTGATTTTTTTATTTAAAAGGGGGATATTGGTTTTGGTCCAAGCCTTTTCACCAACATGGAGTACACGTCATCCCCGAAACCGCAGCTCTCATCCCGGGCAAATGCTTTCTCCATAGCCGCCCTGATGTCCAGTGGGAAGCCCAATAAGGACAAAGACACGGAGGAGAACACCATCAAGCCTCTCGGTAAGGATGGAAGAGGGCCAGACCGGGAAATGATATAATAATAATAATAAAAAAGTGAATTCAGGTGAATTGGTGCGCAAGACTGCAGCTGTTAAAGTTGTTTTACGCAACAACAAAAAAGCCCTGAATGATTTAAGTGAGGAAACAGCAGCAGCAGCAGAGAATAAAATAGATACAAGTTGAATAAATACAATAATCCACGATTGTTACAACATGCTGAGAAAATACAAAATGCGCGAATAAATGAACTACAAACTGCCCGATGACACTGAGGTAAAACACCAACAGCCAAGCTTCTTAATATTGAACCTATAAATAAATCAATATGTAGCCTAAATAAGGTGACAGAAAACATCTGCAACATCCCCATAATTTCACAAATAAATGTGAAAAATAGGCAGTTATATTTACCAGTGCGTGATTGTTTTAAAATTAAACTATTTCTATTTTTGAGCTAATACTCTAATACGCATTAAAAACACGAAATTAAAAGGTTAAGAAGGGGACTGCAGAGCTTGGTTGACACAGTGATGTGAGTTTTTAGTGCATCATCTAAATTCACGGGCTAAAATAAAATAAATGAATAACACTTCACTGGAATTTGTAGCAGAGTTCTGCAAACAGTAAAGATCAATCTCAACGTTATTTAATTGTCTGTCTAATAAGCAACTTATGTGTCGTTTGAAGCTTTCAAGTGTTCCAGAAATCCACTGCTGCAGCAAATATCATTTTTATTTAAAAAATAAAGAACAAAACACAGAACAGTCACTTTATTTATTTTTATTTTCACATATATCATTTGAGTGAAATTATAAAACAAGTTTCTTTCCCCTCAACGATAAACACGTGTTTTAGATTTAAATACCAAATGCAAAATGCAGGAGACGTATATGGAACAGTGTGGATAATAACAATGATAATGATGAAGGGAAATATTAAAAGGTATTACAGACAATTATATTAGATGCTCACTCACCTCACCAACATGTATTTCTCTTTGTACTCCTCGATGACACAGAGCTGCTGCTCTCTCTGATCACAACACATGTAAATAAGATATCTTTTTAAATCCTCTTCACATATCTGTTTATTTCTCCGTTTGCTTCAACAAACAGAACAATTTGTGGAGAAGTCCTCCTGCAGCCAGCAGTCTCTGGCTGACCTGTCGTCCCTGGACGGGCACGGGGACTTCATCGGCAGCGCGCCCGCGGTGTGCACGGAGCCGCTCATCCCCACCAATCCCGGCATCCCGAGCGAGGAGATGGCGAAGATCTCGTGCACCTTGGAGACCAAAGAGCTGTGGGACAAATTTCACGACCTCGGCACCGAGATGATCATCACCAAGTCTGGAAGGTAAACGGGTCGACTGTCTTTATTTTATTATAATGAGTCTAATTATTCTCACTCTTCTTCTTCTTCTTCTTCTTCTTCTTCTTCTTCTTCTTCTTCTTCTTCTTCTTCTTCTTCTTCTTCTTGTATTACTATAATAATAACAATAACAATGAGTATTATTTTTGTTAGTCCCATATGACTTTAAAAAAGCAATAATAATAGTAACAATAACGCACAATCAACATAATACATAACATGCTTAATAAGATACCTTTTACTGTATAAGCGACACGTACATTGTTTTCGTTAGAGGATGAATGCTGTTATCGCAAATTAACGAAAAAACAATAACGTCTATTGTCCTAACGTGGTGTTCAGGTGCACTGTCACATTTTCATTTTGCATCTTAAAGAACCTGCTGTTCTGCAGCTCTCTGTGAGTTTTCCGCACACACCTGACCTGAAGAGTTCACATGAACGTGCCGTCGTTTGAAAGCTACACACCTTAATCTGTTTCACTGACCTTAAAGAAGAGCAAGCTATAGGTTACGAACATATATGTGTGGATGTCCACTTGTAATAAATAATAATAATACATAATGATTTGATATATTACCAGTTTATGCACAACGTGGCCTCATGGAGGACATAAAAGCCGAGTTGCAGCTGGACAATGAGGTCAGCAGTTTAAGCAACCTGGAGGGTTTTTAATAAAAAAATAAAGAAACAAAGAAACATGAAAGGTATTTGGATCTTTCGAGTAATTTTATACTTTAGTAATTTGACTAAATAATAGGCTAAAAAAACAATAGTCCGAGATCTAAATATGTCTCGCCTTCCTCCAAAGTATTTAGGAAATAAAATGTATAAATATTTGATTAAAAAATCCAAGAAACTCCCAAAATGTATAGACTCTGTATAGACTCATAGAACACATGACACACACGAGCAAATATTATTAATAATTATTCATATGGAATTATTATTGTTATTAATCCTAATAATAATGAAGGTATACCAACAATTATCAACAATCATAATACAGTTAATAATTATACCAACACAACTATAATTATATATTAATTATAACATCAGCTGTCACTGCTCCATCAGGAGGATGTTCCCCACCATCCGGGTCTCTTTCTCCGGGGTGGACCAGGACTCCAAGTACATCGTGTTGATGGACATCGTCCCAGTGGACAACAAGCGGTACCGGTACGCCTACCACCGCTCCTCCTGGCTGGTGGCCGGCAAGGCCGACCCTCCTCTGCCCGCCAGGTACACAGACTCACCCTGCACACCTTTAGTGACTCATTAAAGGCGCCCAACGCATCCTCTGCGTAAAACTAGATATTTTAAAGGAAGAGTCAAATCATGATGCTTTTCTTCTTTATGTTAGTCTCATTTAACATTCATATACTTTAAACAAACGAACGGGTCCCACCTTCACAGAAGTAACTGTTGTGTTGTTGTGAAAATGAAACTTCAACAACAACTCGTGAAGAAGAACCGGGGAGACCAAAGAGCTCCGCGAGGCCACCGCCGTAATGGAGACCGATGAAATAATTGAATCTTTCCCAGGAAGCATCTGGGAACAGTCATGCCGCTGATTGATGTTATGAAGATGTCAATTCAAGCAATAAGCCAGCTGAAGCCGTGTTCGTTTCTAGCATTAGTCACTAGAGATGCCATGCGCTCAGGCAATGACAAGAGGCCATGAACCTGGTATTTTATTTTCTGCGAATTTGTGGGTTTGGCTCTAAAGTTTATATTCTACAGTTAAAAAGTTGCACACGATGAGTATATGCACATTTTAATGTGCTGATTTCAGTTGCCTGTGTTTAGACTCAACACGCAAATAAATAAATAAGTCTATATTTATTTCCTTCTGAAAATATTATTCCTGACTCTGTGTTGGTAAATATATTATAGAAATAAAGAAGGAGACTCGTTTTGTGTCCGGGTGGGGTTATAGCCTATTAAAGGACTCGGACTCACGAGCTCAGTATTTAAAAAGATCCTGGTAAAAGCGCGCATGACATGCAGTTATAATTCCCATCATAAATAAACGTCCAAGATGCCTATTTTGAAAACTGACGAATGCTTCACAGACAACATAATAAAGCTTCTTTGGCAATATTCACCCGTTAACTTCGCTGATTGGGTATTGAACGTTCGCTTCGAACGCCTCTCAGCCAATCACAGCTGAGGATGTGACCCTCCGTTCTTCTTCTTCTTCTTATTCTCCTGCAGGCTGTACGTCCACCCGGACTCCCCGTTCACCGGAGAGCAGCTCGTGAAGCAAATGGTTTCCTTCGAGAAAGTCAAGCTGACAAACAACGAGCTGGACCAACACGGACATGTGAGCACGTGTTACTTTATTCCTCCTTTGTCTCATATTTTAACCCTCGTTATCAGAAGATATCGACCTAATTGCCCGTTAAAACAAACAAAGCTTTGCCTCTGTCAGGTTTAAAGACCGGCGTGACATTATAATTACTCCTCCGACAAGAGCAAATTGCTGCTTTAATCCTCCTTTCACTGGAGGCACCACGCCAAGCTCACAGGCAGGGAGCACAGACACATCTCAGAACCAAAAACATCCAACGTTCATCCAATAATTAGCCAACGAAGGGAAGACAGTCTGGGAAACAAGGTGATTATTATCTTCAAGGGTGTGTGTGTGTGTGTGTGTGTGTGTGTGTGTGCGTGTGTGTGTGTGTGTGTGTGCGTGCGTGCGTGTGTGTGTTACACGTTTTCCAAAAATAGCTCCTGACATGAAAGATACCAAAACAAACACAGTGGTAAAATACATTTACAAAATGCTGTAGGCTACTGTAGCCTATATGCCTTTTATTATTTATTTGTGACTTTTATCATGAACATATTCTTTTATTTTTTGTATTGATAATAATCCATATATTGAATAAACAGTAGTTTGTAAAATAGATATTAAGCAGGTTTTGGATATGTTTTAACAAATATTTTACGAGGTAGAATTATACTAAAGTTGCTTGTTTTAAGTAGAATTAATGAAGTTATACCTCCCCAAAAATGTACATGAGGTCATCTGTATTTTAAAGAGCAGGAAGGCATCATTAAACAAAAACACTCTTCAATAATTGTTGTGTTATTTATTAAAATTCAGAAACAATATTTCCCATAATTCGATGCCCAGAGAAACTTTTGTTTTATTTTTTTTCCGTCTGTGTAATTATAAATGCTGCTGAAGCCTTGACATCTGGTCAAATATAATTCAATAGTCTGCGTATTAATTATTTATGTATTAATAAGCAGAATATGCAAGAAATGTATTTACAGAGAGATGTACTGTAATGAATTTATGAATAATTTAAATTAAATAAAGTTGTACTCTATAGCTGCACATTCTAAAACAGAGGTAACCTGAAACTAATAAAAAAATAAATATTATTGTATCGAGAATAAAAACACCCAAAAAATTAAACAAAATCCGCTGAATGGAGAAATTATTTGTCAAGACTAACAATTACTTTTTTTTAACAATAAAAACTACAGTAACTATAATAACTTTCTGTAGTTTATCAACTGAAATAATCAATCCTACTGGCAACAATTCAAGTAATGGTGCAATGGTGCATCATTTTGTATCAAACATGAATTATACACCTAAACCTGCATTCTTTAGCACCATACACACACACACACACACACACACACACACACACACACACACACACA